TCATGCTTGCCGTGACCGAGGCTATCGCGATCATTCGAGGACGATGGCGCCTGCAATTGCTCGCGAGCAAAGACTTTAACTCCGAGTCGCAGAAGAACCATGTCGCAGGTGGAGGTTGTTGATATGTGAGGCGTAGAAAGTATGAGGAAGGGATGGAAATCAGGAGAAGTTTTTGTCTACAGCAAGAACTGTGGAGTTGTCTGTCCGTGCATAGGGAATGGTGAGAAGGGTCTTTGGGGGAGCTGGGGAAGAGGAAAGCCGAAAGGGTGAGTCGGAGGTCGAAGAATAGGACGAGAGGAAGAGGAGGGGAAGTGTTTGAAATGGGTGGGTGATGAAAAACATAACACAGAGTGATGTGTTATTCGAGTGAAGGGTTCAAGCTTTCATGGAGTTGCGACACAGTGAAGAGTGGAGGAAGTCCCAAGTGTTGTGCTCGGATTTAATGATCTGTAGCAAAATAAAATAAATTGTGACAGCAACCGATCATTGGTTCGCGGGGCGCAAAATCAACGCGTTTCACCGCCCAGTAGCCACGGGTCCAATTCACGAGATCACGTGTAGATCAAATAATTAATCTAAATTAGGCAATATGACTTAGATCCTTGAAGGCCGGGGTTTATCCTATATTAAGCTCGGAGAGTTTGTTCATCATTATGCCTGCTCTTCTGCTGGTCACTCATTCTATGTACTGGCCCCTAGTCAATCGAGAACTCTTCCAGCCCCTTGTTGACACTGATTAAAGTCAAATCAGGTAAGTAGATATGTGGGACGGCGCCCTCAAATAAATGTACAGATGGATGGTAAATCCCACCATCTCAGCTTTGCTTCCGTCTCTACTGCAAGAACTTTTCTACGGCACCTCCAATATTCTTCAGATCAAGCAGGAAGGTATCATGCCCGAAATGCGACACATCCTCCCCAAGCTCAATATGCTCAACAGTCTGGTTTCCTGTTGCGCGAAGCGTCTCTGCAATTTCCCGTTGTTGCCAGGCTGGAAATAGGATATCACTGGCGACGCCGATCACCAAGACTGGGTGGTTCTTCAGGGGTGCAAGTCCATGGACAAGATCTTGTGGGGGCGCGTCCGGCCCCTTTCCACCCTCAGTGACAGCCTGGTCCATAGCAGGCGTTGACGCAGTTTGAGACGGTTGCTCTTCATACGGCTTGGCGGGGAGAGTCAAGCTGCAGGTGATATTGTTTTCCTGAGCATCGCTACCTCCCTCGGCGATCTTGATTTCGTTGGCGGCTCTCCGCTGCTGAGTTTCTGCTTGATGGGCATATCCTAAATCAAACAAGTCCATGGCTTTAGACACATAAAGCAGACTGTTCGGATCATACTCCAAACAGAATTTCTCTCCGGCATGATCAAGATACGTCTCAATCAAGAAGTCCGGACAGAGAGCGGGCTGCTTGCTGGGATCTGCGCGCTTGCGTCCAAACCGCATCTCCCATTCAGGCCCACTGCGGTATGTGACTGTGGCGATCTCTCGAGCGAGCTTCATTCCCGTATGAGGGGGGACGGAGTCATAATAGAAGCCCCGGGCCCACTTTGGATCCATCATCAGCACTTGTCGTTGCGTGTGCCTCATGGCAATGCTATAGGGGTGACTCCGTGCGCATCCGCTAATGCTGACAACTTTGCCAATGCGCTCCGGGAACAAGACACCGGCAGCAAGACTCTGCATACCGCCCATACTTGATCCAACAGACGCATACAACTCTTGAATGCCCAGTGAATCCAGAAGGCGAAACTGTGCCCGTACCATATCCTCAATCGTGAGAATAGGGAATCGAGTGGCATATCTCTTGCCGTCGGAAGGGTCAATTGTTGAAGGTCCAGTACTTCCGTAACACCCTCCAAGAACATTTGTGCAGATAATGAAATGTTTGTTCGTGTCGAGAGGCCTACCGGGGCCGATGAACTTTTCCCACCAGCCGGGCTTCGGGTTAGCTTCGGTGCTGTGTGCGTGACTCGATGCTGAAAGACCAGTGTGTAACAGAATGGCATTGCTCTTGTCGGCGTTCAATTGGCCCCATGTTTCGTATGCGATGTCAAATTCACGGAGCACACCACCCCAGTCGAGAAGAATCGGATCCTCGCAGTGAAATTGCTCATGGTGACCAGTGGTGTAAGAGGGTTCAGGCCCGGATTCGAGCGACCGCGCGGAGAGCTGGGCAGATTTGGCGTCCTGGGCATCGAGACATGGAAAGGAGAGAGCAGGGTTGGACGAGTCTCGTGGACTGGATTGCGCAGTAGCCGGTTGTGATTTGCGCTGAGGAGCTTGGTGTAGAGCCCGAGAGTGAAGTAGTGGGCTGACTCGAACAACTGGCCGTGTGGTAGTCACTGTTGGAAGGTTGTTGCGCTGAGTCAATGATCGTACGACCCTTGACACTCGAGGAACTGAGGACGCCATTCCTGATGGGTTCATCATAACCCAAAGACGAGCCTCTATACCACAGGAACGTGGAAAGTGATAGCGATGCGAATTGCAGGATGATCAATTGGTGACTCGGCCGGGTGTTTTAACATTTGTCACATGCGGGTGTGGCGGCCTCAGGCCGTAACTGTCAGCCATGCACCCATGGCGTCATTTACTGTGCTTCTGATTGGTTCACAAGCCTAGCTGGAGCGCATTATATAATCCTCTTAGAGCCGATAACGGTTTTGCGATAAGGATAAGCATTTCGTGTGTACAGCAACACGATGCCTCAGGTGTAAGCATCACTCAGCTCACACCATCAGCCCGCATGGTTACGTTAACAACTGAGCCACCTGTCCCCGAGTCTGGATCGGGTCTTAACCACACACTCTCAAGCTTCCAGACTCCGACCTGTCGCTGCATTTGACCCCTGCACGTCCGGTGAAAGTCCCCGCGGGTGACCATCCATACTATTTCGCCGAAGCCGACACCACCGCTTTGATCAACAACAAGCGGTTCATCAGTCACCTCCTTAGGCTGCATTCAGTGCTGTGCATGATTGGGGAAGTAACAGCTTCTCACTATGTTCTCACTTGCGCGGCCAACACGACTTCCGTCATTCCGGCATGATATCGATCGCTTGGGGCATGTCTGCCTGATCATCTTGCCGGCCTAATTGACTGCTTAAGCTTACACTTAAATGACGATGCTGTCTGCAAACACAATGCTTTAGAAACTTTTATCGTCCGAGCATTGACCCTACAACCTTAACCAACATTCTTTCCATGTCAACCAGGACTTCATCATAAGGCCATCGTGGGCACAGAGCTGAGTTGGTGCCGGCGACAGGGCGCGCATGACGTATCATGTACTCGCCGGGACTAGGACTACTGGTAACTTAGAGGCTGGACCCTAAGGTCTTTAATCGGCACTGAAAGGTGACCAGGTCATTCGAAATGTCGCTTGCAGCTGCGGAGCGGACACGCTATGGCTGGAATGTTGGTTGCGTCTCTTGGCATGTGAGGTATGTGCCCGAGTGGGAATGCTGCACTCGTTACCTACTGTCTTCGGCTTGGTCCAGGAACATGTGCTGATAATTCGATTAGGCTGCTTTCTGGGAGGCTTCAGTTGAAGTGACGGTCCTCAAACTCTTGCACTCGATATTCATCTCAGGACTAAGACGCATACGGGCTTCGATGCTGGGAAAATCCCAACTCCTGAGATGTTCAACACTACAAGCCATGCTCTCCAGTTTCTGACATCATTGTCGTTCTGAATCTTGTTTGAACGAAGCTTAAAATTGACATGGAACCACATGCTCTCGGAATCGATCATCGCCCGATGCTTAGATCATGGTTCCTCTGTCACCCTCTCTGGGATAAAATATAGCCGTTTCGAGGTACTCAACCTCGTGGTTCGGGGGCATGACCATTAGTGTCCTTCAAAGCCTTGTACCTGGCATGAATCTGACTTTTCCCCTCGGGGATGACATACACACGACCAGGGGTTCAATCCATATGATTAGATCGTGGGGTCTAGAATTTCCTAATCCAGACATATGGTGATTGAGGATGTCCGCATGCGACCATGACAAGTTCCCAAGCACAATATAAAATCGCTGGACGCCGTCTCTAGCCAGAAAGGCGTCTAGCGTCTACTTCGGATTCCAGCCTCTCGTCAACAGCTCCTCACCAGTACAACAAACTAGCCAGCTCATCATGAAGCTTTTAGCCCCCATTCTAGCCACTACCTGCCTGGCTAGCAGCGTCCTAGCTGCTCCCCGCAGTGGTCTAGCAGAACGCATGCAAGCCCGGTTCATGGCTCGTGGCTCGCGACCCCTACAGCCACACCCTTCAGAATCAGACCCCAAGAGCAACCACCGAGAGGAAGTGGCTTCATCCCCAAACACATCTCACGTCACGTACAGCAGTAACTGGGCCGGCATTGTGCGAGAGGAACCGCCCACCTCAGGTCCGTACACAGCCGTCAGCGCGACCTTTCAGGTTCCCAAGCCCACCGCTGCAGCCAACAGCCGCGGCACGCAGGCCGGCTCCGCCTGGGTCGGCATCGACGGCGACACGTACAGCGCCGCCATCCTCCAGACTGGGGTAGATTTCTACGTCCAGAACGGCAAGGTCTCCGGCGACGCCTGGTACGAATGGTACCCAGACTACGCGTACGACTTCGATCTCACCGTGAGCCCCGGGGATACCATCGTAGCCAAGGTCCAGTCCCTCTCGCCCAGCCAAGGGGTGGCCATCATCGAGAACAAATCCACCGGCCAGAAGGCGACGCAGACCGTCTCCGCCCCTGAAGCGACGGCCACCCTGGCGGGCCAGAATGCCGACTGGATCGTCGAGGACTTCCAGGCGGGCGATGAACAGGTCGCGCTCACAGACTTCGGCACGGTCACGTTCACCGGCGCGCAGGCCCAGGGCGGGGGCCAGACTGTGGGCGTCCAGGACGGGACGGTCATTGAGCTGAAGCAGAATGATCAAGTATTGACGGAGGTGGATGTACAGAGCGACACGAAGTTCAGCGTTACCTACATAGGATGATTCCCTCGAGGCTATTGCATGCTAACCGTTGCTATTTGATGTGGCGGTTTTATCTGATGATCACGTTGTATGTATGGAGCGTAGCTATCGCTAAATTATGAAGTTCAGATTTGTGGAAGAGTTGATCGTCGAGGTGTGTCTGCAATTTCCAGATTATGATAGATCACAGCAGCCAAGTAAAGGCTTCATGCGAGATAATATATACTTGCCATGCACCCGACTGCGGCTCCGAAGAACCTCAATACCAAGGATAACTAAGCAATGCTCTTGATAGCCTCCTCCAACTCCCGCACATTCCCACCCACCACGCGCTTGTCCAGCAACTTGCCATCCTTGTACAGAACAAAGGTCGGCATGGCGCGGACCTGCAGCTCCTGCGCCACGGAGCGCACCTTGTCGACATCGACCTGGATGAACCGGACATTGGTGTAGGTCTCGCTCAGCTTGCCGATCTGAGGGGCAACGGCCTTGCAAGGCCCGCACCAGGTCGCAAAGAAGTCGACCACGACCGGGCCCGACGAGGTCAGGGCCTTGAAGATGACGGGGCTATTTTGTGAAGGGATATTGAGTTAGTGTTTCCAAAAGCCCAGTTGCATTTTTGTCCGGGGTTCGATATCCCCGGTGGAGAGAAAGGTGGGGGAAGCGCATACTTGTCAACCTCGATGACTTTTCCGTGAGCCATGATGGGTTTATCGGGGAAGAAGCGGCTTTTGATGAGGCGGAAAACTGGGGCAAGGAAGTGGATTAGCAGGTTGAGCTGGGCGGATTAAAGGGTGAGGTCTGTACGTACGGAACCAGAAGGTGAGCAGAATAATAATACGCGTGAAGTCCATGGCCGGGTGAGGAAAGAAGGGGAAAAGAGAGAGGTACAGATTTAGATGGCGCGCGGTGAGAGGACTCGGGGAGGATAAGACGTGATCCAGACAATTCCGCCTCGGCTATCGAAGGACCGTACAGTAGTAGATCTCCACCGTGGGGCGGGAGGTACGTCGTGACACGGGAAGGTATTGGATCGCGATGAGTGGGCTTTGGAAACCATATATGTCCGTGAGCTAAGTTATTAGAAAAAACTATGAGATAACATACACGTACAGGAGGACTCAAGGAAGGTGGTACGATTTCATGCAATGATGGAGCAAGCCCTGGTTTCTTATGGCAGGCGGTGGGCTTCTGTAGGGCAGAAAGTTATCGGCCGCGGCGGTGAAGGACACATTATCTGGCTCGTTATGCCAGCATAACGTGACTAAGCCATGACATGTCCGCCTCCCCTCTCCCCCCCCATACATGCATAGCCACCAGTCACTTTCCACGCGATCCCCTGAAGCAGGATGTTCACCAACTTACAGAGTAGATCATCTTGTCTCGAATGTCAACTTCCATGGGAGACGCAATGCTATCTGACCTACCTTAATCTCTGTGACAGAGTTTTCAAATCACCATGGCCATTAAGAAAGTGCCAGTCCTCCCTTACCGTCGAGGCTCGGACGCCTCCGAGGCCGACTTCTTCGACATCCCCGACGAACCGTGCTGGGCTATCATCAAGCGGCAGCTGCGACACTTGCGGACCTGGGTCGCCTTCATCTTCTTCGTCCTCTTCATCCTCTTTCTTCGCCGGGAGAAGCCCCCGCCGCCCAAAGTGACCCATATCGACTACAGCCGCGTGGATTGGTCCCGCTACGCCTACAGTCAATATGCCACTTCGAGTCCTTACCTCTGCAACGCCCTGTTGACGTTCGATGCCCTCGATCGCCTGGGTAGCAAAGCGCAGCGCGTGCTTTTCTACCCCGAAAACTGGGACGTGATTGTCGAGAGTGACCGGGATCGGGATAGTCAGATGCTGGCGCTGGCGTATGAAAAGTACGGTGCGCTGCTGGTGCCGATTGATGTGCAGATGGTCAAGGCTGGAGCCGGTACGTTCCTTTCATACATGGTTGCATGCATGCATACATTCACATGTCCAGCATTCTCCAATTGCTTCTCGAAGAAATCCAGACAACTTACATCCATACCCCCCATTAGGTCCAAGCGAATCCTGGGACAAGAGCACCAGCAAGTTCCTGGCCTTCGGCGAAACCGAATTCGACCGGATCATCCACGTCGACTCGGACGCGACCATTCTCCAGAACATGGACGAGCTATTCTTCCTGCCGTCCGCCCAGGTGGCCATGCCCCGCGCCTACTGGCAGCTCCCGGACACGCGGCAGCTCTCGTCGCTGCTGATCGTGCTCGAGCCGTCCTTCAAGGAGTTCTACGCGCTGACGGCCGCCGGCGAGGCGGTGACGTACGGCCAGGTCAACACCACCGGCACCACGACCGCCCGGTACGACATGGAGCTGATGAACGAGCGGTACGGCGACTCGGCGCTCGTGCTGCCGCACCGCCAGTACGGGCTGATCACGGGCGAGTTCCGCGCCGACGACCACCGCGCCTTCCTGGGCAACGACTGGGAGGCGTGGGACCCCGAGCGCGTCCTGAGCGAGGCCAAGCTCGTGCACTTCTCCGACTGGCCGCTCCCCAAGCCGTGGATCATGTGGCCACAGGAGTTGCTGGCCGATATGCTGCCCAAGTGCAAGGTCAAGCCCGGGACGCTCCAGGAGAGCGGGTGTAAGGATCGCGAGATCTGGAAGAAGCTGTATGATGATTATCGACGGAGGCGGAGGGTGAGTTCTTCTCCTTTTTCTTTCACTGCACATCCTTACTTGATACATACTTTCTTGGACCTGGCGCGCCTCTTTTGCTAACATAGCCCCCTTTCCATGAGCAGGACGTATGCAAGCTTCTCAGCTACCCAGCGCCGAACTGGCCCCCACGGGACGTGCCCGAGCCTCCTCCCTCGCAGGAGGAAGCAAATCCACCACTTTCATGAAAATCGCGTATACCATAAACGGGCTTTTTTACGGCGTCATTGGGTGTTTCTAGTAGATCGGTGTAGAAGTCGGGATATTTTCCATTTCCAGGTAGATTGTCATAACTCTAAATCATTTCGCGTCTGTACACTAGCCGCAGAATGGATCGGGACACATTGTGAATATTGTATATAGAGAAGGGCTCGGTAGTCCAGTTACATGTCAATTTAAGGTTCAAGCACGTTTTCAAGCAGTGTCAGGACATATCTGTAATGTTCAGCAATGTATGCGAGGTCTTCGTCGCCGATGCAGGCAGTAGTGTCAGTCTATGCAAGTTATGAGTTTCTGTCCGACGTATGCGTTAGTTATTGCATAGAACTTATTATTCTACTCTGCCAGTGCGGCAATCCCAGTCAACATGCAAAGGGGCAGATTTTAAGAATAAATTTATTTGTTATTCGTTTCATTTCACCCTGCGCCGTCAAGAGACAGCGGCTAGCCAGTTGGAACCAGCACTCGGGAAATGTTCGGGGTAAGAAAACTGCTCTAAATCTATAACGCCCAGCCCAGAGATATCGTCTATCGTTATGTTGAAATCGCATCGTGGCTTTTAATTCCACACCATCACGATGATGATCAAGGTATCCCATCCGATGGAAGGATAACATATGTTGAAAGTGGTAAACGCGGTACCAGTGCCGGAAAAGAGGGTAGAAGGGAAATAAGCTAAAACATGGGTATCACATCGAATCTAAGCAGAATCCTCCACGGGACCGCAGGTACAGAATAGGTTCTGGTCACCGTAGGCTAGAAAAAGAAAAGGGGGTTAGAAAGGTTGTTCAGTAGTGTAGTAGGGAACTGGGGCTATGAGCTTACCATCATCCACGCGCGTCACCGAAGGCCAGAACTTCTTCTCCACCAGGTAGGGCAGAGGGTAGGCCGCGGTCTCCCGGGTGTATGGCCGGGTCCATTCCGTGGAGAGGAGATCACGCTGCGTGTGCGGCGACATCTTCAGGACGTTGCCCTCACGTGGCTGGGAGCCGCTCTCGACTTCCGCGATCTCCTGGCGGATGGAGATGAGGGCATCGCAGAACCGGTCGAGCTCGGCCTTGCTCTCCGACTCAGTCGGCTCGATCATGAGGGTGTTGGACACGGGCCAACTCATGGTCGGGGCGTGGAAGCCATAGTCCTGGAGACGCTTCGCGATATCGATCGCCTCAATGCCACAGGTGTCCTTGAACTTGCGGACATCGAGGATGAATTCGTGCGCGCAACGGCCGTTCTCGTTGGTGTACAGGATGGGGTAGTGCTCCTTGAGACGGGAAAGGATGTAGTTGGCATTGAGCAGCGTGATTTTGGTGGCGTGCGTGAGTCCCTTAGCACCCATCATGTTGATGTAGTTGAAAGTGATGGGCAGGATGCTGGCACTACCCCAGGGAGCAGCGCTAATCGGGGGAGATGAAGTCTCGGAGCGCTTAGATTGGAGGTATTCGCTGACCGGGTGAGAGGGCAGGAAGGGCCGCAGGTGCTCGGCCACACCAATGGGACCGACCCCGGGTCCACCACCACCATGGGGAATACAGAAGGTCTTGTGGAGGTTCAGGTGGCACACATCGGCACCAATCTCTCCTGGGGAGCACAGACCAATCTGGGCGTTCATGTTGGCGCCGTCCATGTAGACCTGCCCACCGTACTTGTGCACGATCTCACAGGCCTCCTTGATACCAGGCTCGTAGACACCGAATGTGCTAGGGTAAGTGATCATGATGGCTGCCAAGTTTTCTTGGTGCTTCTCGCATTTAGCCTTAAGATCCTCCAGATCGAGGTTACCGGTCTTGGTGTCACACTTGATAGTGACAACGCGCATACCAGCCATGGCCGCACTGGCCGGGTTAGTGCCGTGGGCAGAGACAGGAATCAAGCAGATGTCGCGCTTCGATCCTTCGTGGGCCTCCTGGTACTTCTTGATCACACGCAGTCCAGCAAATTCACCCTGCGCGCCAGAGTTGGGCTGCACAGTGACTTCAGCCATACCGGTGATATCGGCAAGTTGCTGCTCTAGATCATCAATCATCTGGGTGTATCCCTTGGCAACATCGGCGGGCATAAAAGGGTGGATCTGAGAGAACTCGGGCCACGAGACAGGGATCATCTCAGTGGTTGCGTTTAGCTTCATGGTGCAAGAACCCAGGGGGATCATGGAATGAGCCAAAGACAAATCCTTCGACTCGAGGTGATGGATGTAACGCAGCATTTCGGTTTCCGAGTGGTGAGTGTTGAACACAGGATGTGTAAGGTATTCCGACGTCCGCTCCAAGCTGGCGGGAACGGTTGCCACGGCGAGTCTCTCTTCCAGAATGACCTCGCCCTTGGAGGCATGGTCGGCGAAGATCTGAAGCACAGACCTCACCTCCTCACGTCCAGCAGTCTCGTCCAAGGAAATTCCAACCTTAGTCTCATTGACGCGACGGAGGTAGAAGTGCTTCTGACGTGCGGCAGACATGATAGCATCGGCTTCTTGGCTGCTAGGCAAGTCAACAACGACAGTGTCAAAAAGAACGCTGCCATCAGTGGCGTTGGACTTGACAGGTACGTTGTAGCCCAATGCCGCAAGCTGAGCCTGCAATGTAGCGGCCATAGACATGATGCGCTGAGCAATAGCCTTCAGGCCAGTCGGGCCGTGGTAGACAGCATACATGGCGGACATGTTAGCCAGCAGAGCCTGTGCAGTACAGATGTTACTGGTGGCTTTCTCCCGACGAATGTGCTGCTCTCTGGTTTGAAGGGCCAATCTCAGAGCACGCTTGCCCAGACGGTCCTTAGAGACGCCCACGACACGACCGGGAATCTTGCGCTTATACTTGTCGATACAAGCGAAGAAGGCGGCATGAGGACCACCGAATCCCATGGGAACACCGAATCTTTGGGCATTTCCGAAGGCAATATCAGCGCCAAACTCGCCAGGCGCCTTAAGCAGAGTCAAGGCCAGGAGATCCGTGGCCACACTGAAGGTACCTCCAGCACTGTGGATGGTATCGCTGAGGGTCTGAAATTCATACACTCCGCCCTCTGTGTCGGGGTACTGTGCCAGAACACCAATCAGGTTGTCGCCCTGCTCCTTAACCAGCTTGAAGTCATCTGCGAGAATATCTCCGACAACCAGGTTGATGCCGAAGCCCTCCGCACGAGAACGCATCACAGCAATAGTCTGAGGGTGGCAGAGGTTCGAAACCACGTAAGATTTTCCGGGCTTCTTCTGTTTAGCCATGGGCATGGTAGACAGGGACATGGTCATTGCCTCAGCTGCGGCCGTGGCTTCGTCCAGCACGGAGGCATTGGCGAAGGGCAAGCCAGTGAGATCGGCAGTCAAAGTCTGGAAGTTCAGAAGGGACTCCAGACGACCCTGACTGATCTCAGGCTGGTAGGGAGTGTAACTGGTGTACCAAGCGGGATTCTCGAGGACGTTGCGCAGAATCACCGGGGGAACAATAGTACCATAGTAGCCAGCACCAATGTATGTCTTTCCCGAAACATCGATCTGTTTCCGATAGGTGTCGAGCAGTTTGAGCATGTCTGTCTCGCCCAAGCCACCGTGCACACTGTCGCGGTACAATTTAGCGTTGGAGCTCGGAGGCGACACGGACAAATCCTTCTTCGAGAGGATGTCCGCAGGAAGAACCTGCTTCACGAATTCGTCGAGCGATGCTACTGGAGGATCTAGCGTGGCCAGCATCTCCTTAGCCGCATCTGGAGCAGGACCGATATGGCGTCTGGGGAATGTATCGAGGGGCTGGAAGAGATCGCGGGGGTGAGGATCACCGTGGTCGCCAATGGAGCTGGTGTATACATGGCGGCGTGCAGAGGACTGTTCGGAAGAGGTAGTGTGGACAGAACGAAGGATAGGTGTAGATACTCTGCGAGTAGCAATTGACGAAGGAATTGAGCGTACTCGCGTGCGCAGGGCGAGCTGGCGGGAGCCACGCAGGGCGCACCAGGACGCAGCCATAGCTACGGTGGTGATAGTGGTGGAGGGAGTATGGGAGTATGGAATTATGTGACGGGGAGAAGGAAGGGAGGGAGGGAGGGAAGTATAGGATGATTCAAGTATGAGAAGACTCAACACATGAGCCGGCACAAGGAATTGGAAGAGATGAGATAATGAGAAAGAAGAGAAAGAAAAGAGGAAAAGAGAGATTGAGTTTCAAAAAATTAAATACAAGGGCGCTCAAGAAAGCAAGCGAACGATAAGTTAATGAATACCTCATTGAATACCGCGGACGATTCGGGACCGTGGCGGGAAACTCGCCGCGCACCCGATATCGCCCTTCAATTCCTCCCCGCAATCCGCGATAAGCAAAGCTCCCCCCGATAAGCTTTCATTTCCCGCGGGAAAGTCGCGTCGTATCGCTGTTTCTCCGCCATCTTCTGATTCCATCCAGGCCACTTCGTGACAATTCGAGGATTCAAGGCTTGAACTGCAGAATCATCTTTGGCAAACAACCTCATGAACATCGCTGGTCAACTTCTACTCATATACAAATCTATGGTAGCATGATTTCAATTCGAAATGTTTCCTCCAACTTATGATGCAATGGTTCTGAATTACTCATACTATATAATCATACGCAGCTGGTGGCCAATTCTCATAGTCCCACCTCAACCCAAAGCTCCCAGCTCACGACATGATGATCATCAAGCTGAAGATGGTGGCAACAGTAGTTGGCTGTAGGTGTACTGCGCACTGTAGAATATGAGATCATGTCGTTGAACCTCGCATTAGAGGGCATATGCTCTGTCTCCTCGGGACCCTGTTCCTGATAGTGCACCCCTTCAGGTGCTGTAACCTCAGGCCACAATCAGGCACCTAGGCTTGCACGTGGGGTACAATCACATGATAGTCGCTTATCATTTGCAAGGTTTGCACTCCCCACGGATTGCCTTCCCGATTGAGCCTTTCTCAAGGAAGATTTTCTCCCCCTCGGTCAGACAGGTCGTTGCGACAACCACCCCAGCTCGTTGATTTTCTCGCCTTTCTCGCAAGTCTGCTCTCTACTGGGGCCACGTTTTGTCAAAATGTCTCCCGTTCCGATCCCCCCGCCGTCCGACGACATCGCGACTCTTCTGCAGTCCGTCACGCCCCCGACAATGCCCCCGCACCGGTCGCACGACCCGTCCAACAACATGAAGCGCAGTGACCCCTTCCAGTTCGGCTCTCGGTACCTGGAGCAAGGAGATGATGTTTTCGAGTTCAACGCATGGGATCACGTGGAGCCCGATGACGAGTTCAAGGCATTCGCTGAGGAACAGTATGCTAAGCAGCGCGACGCCCCCGTATCGGAGTTTGACAGGAATCGCTTCAACGCCGACCCGGCTAAGTGGTGGAACCTCTTTTACAAGAACAACACGTCCAACTTTTTCAAGAACCGCAAATGGCTGCGCCAGGAATTCCCGGTTCTCGACGAAGTGACTCGGGCGAATGCGGGCAAGCAGGTCGTGTTGGAGGTCGGTGCAGGCGCCGGTAACACCGCTTTTCCCCTGTTGGAAAACAATGAAAATGAGGAGTTGATGGTCCATGCTTGTGACTTCTCCAAGACTGCTGTTCAGGTTATCCGTGACAGTCCTAAATATGACACCAAGCACATCACAGCGGACGTGTGGGATGTGAGTGCTACTGGGGACGGTTCGCTGCCTCCTAACGTGGCGGAAGGATCCGTTGATGTCGTTGTCCTCATCTTCATCTTCTCTGCCTTGGCCCCCAATCAGTGGGAACAGGCTATCCGTAACATCTACCGCGTCTTGAAGCCAGGTGGAAAGATTCTGTTCCGCGATTACGGACGAGGTGACCTTGCTCAGGTCCGTTTCAAGAAGGGCCGGTACATGGGCGAGAACTTTTATATTCGGGGCGATGGTACGCGCGTGTATTTCTTTGACCGGGACGAGCTTGAGAAAATGTGGGGTCAGTGGACACCGGAGAAGGGACTGCCTAAGGGACTTGTGGCTGAGGCAGACAGCACCGCCACTGACGAAGCCGCTGCTACTGAAGAGACAACTGCCACTGAACAGCTAGGAGTCTTCGAAGTACAGAAGTTGGCTGTCGACAACCGACTGATTGTCAATCGTCAGCGCAAGATCAAGATGTATCGTTCCTGGATTCAGGGACACTTTGTCAAGACTGACAAGGCTGCTGCTGCTGACAGTGAGAAGAACGAGTCTTGATTGTGCATTGCAATCGACTAGAGTGTTACTACACCGCAACCTTAGCGAGATGGTGGCCATGCGATGCAGTCATATTGCGCCCACCACATCGGCGTTCACCGTTAGAGGAGCAGCTTGGTGGTTTATACTGAGACTCGTATTGTCGGTCACAGTCAAGGACCGTCAATACATATCGGCTCGCAGCCCCTGGAGGTTTCCACATGCTTCTATTAACCGCGTCAGGTGTGGTATTCGGTTCTGAGTTGTCATGAGATTTGCCTCACTCCAAGATCTGGCTCCATGGCACCATGTCCGCGTATGAGAGAATGTCTGTCGTTCTTTCAATCGGCATCACGACTGTTTTTCCATTGTGGATGCTATACTAAAGTATTCCATTTCTCATTTTAAAAACGAAGACACGACCGACACGATCAATACATTAGATCTAGATTATTTCTATAGAGAGGAATAGAGCATCAAACCTTATATTGGCTCAGCGAATACCCTTTTCATAGTCTACATCAGACTTCAGCTTCCTCACCGAATTGATGAGTGCATATAGCATTTGGTCTTGAGTCCTACTGCATTGCAAAGTGTGAACGGCTTCGGTTCCTTGTCTTGTCGTCTGGTCAAACAGCTTTTTTGTGCTGCGGAGCCGAACCGGTCATGGCAGCAGTCGGAACGGCAACTATATATTCTGAAAAATGGCAAAACCACGACCGCTGGAGGAGTAGCACTTTAAGATGCACTTACCTCCTGTAATGAATACAAGCTCTATAGCTATGAGCTACATATTTTTGCGAGAAATCACATAGAGACATTCTCGGAAAGTCATGATAATTGCAACCTTATTGAAAGGGCGACTCCTCGGCTATATGGCTGGGAGAAGGCTATTTGCAGGTGGCGGGTAATTCTATGCCGGGTCAGGATGATCTCCAACTACTTAATCAGGCACGTCATTCCAACTATGCCACTTGCTGTCGACTTAAATTGCTTATGCCCGAAGAGCAGGATACACAGTCAATTCTTAGCTTCAATTCACAATGTCTCGTATGCATGGGCTAGCCCGAAGACTCTATCTTGGCAGGGCCCTGCGAGGATCCCTCCTCCGACGTCCAGCCCGCTGCGGCTTCTCCACTACTACCACACGCCCGTTGATGGAACTGACTGGCTTCACCGAGAACCAACTGACTGTCCGAGATGCCGTATCGGCCGTCTGCGCCAGATTTCCCAACACCTACTGGCAAGAGTGTGATCAGAATGAGCGCGACCCAAAGGAGTTCCACGCCGCCCTCGCGCAGGACGGATGGCTAGGCATTGCGCTGCCAGAGGAACTGGGGGGTGCTGGGCTCGGTATGAAGAGTTGATCTTCTACCCTGGCTGATGGTCTCATTTTACTAACAAGGCGTTGACAGGCATTTCGGAAGCAACGATGATGATGCAGACCATTACTCAATCGGGCGCAGGTATGGCCGGCGCCCAGGCCATCCACGCTAACGTGTATGCGACACAACCGCTGGCTCGGTTCGGTACGCGTGAGCAGCTGGAGGAGACGATCCCCAAGATCATCAACGGCACGTGGCGGACGTGTTTCGGTGTGACGGAGCCGAATACCGGTCTGGAGACGCTGAAGCTGAAGACGCTGGCGACCAAGATCCCCTCTCGTGAGGCCTACTCGGTGACCGGGCAGAAGATCTGGATCACCTGTGCGCAGGTGGCCGCGAAGATGATCCTTCTAGCGAGGACTACACCGCTGGAGGAGGTGGCCAAGCCGACCCAAGGCCTGTCGCTGTTCTGCATCGACCTGGACCGCGATCACCCCGGTCTAGACATGCGCAAGATCAAGAAAATGGGTGGCCGCGCGGTGGACGCTAACGAGGTGTTCTTCGATCAGTATACCATCCCGGCGAAGACGCTGATCGGGCAGGAGAATGACGGATTCCGTAATATCCTGCACGGCATGAACGCGGAACGGTGTCTGCTGGCCGGCGAGGCCTTGGGATTGGGCTACGCGGCGCTGGAGCGAGCAGCGCAGTACGCACGGGAGCGAGTTGTCTTTGGCCGGCCGATCGGCCAGAACCAGGGCATCGCGCACCCGCTGGCGGATGCGTACATGAAGCTCGAGGCGGCCAAGCTGGCCACCTACCATGCGGCGCGTCTCTACGATACATCGCGACAGGACGAGAGCATCCCCGCGCACTCGGTGGGAGTGGCCTGCAACAGTGCGAAGTACCTGGCGGCCGAGGCGGCCTTCACCGCGTGTGAGCGGGCGGTGCTCAGCCACGGTGGAATGGGTTACGCGATGGAGTACGACGTGGAGCGCTACCTACGCGAGTGTTTAGTCCCTCGAATCGCACCAGTCAGTCGGGAGATGATCTTGAACTACGTGAGCGAGAAGGTTTTGCAGCTGCCTCGGAGTTACTGAAGGGGGGGCAAACAGATTGAGTTTGTTACATATCATAAATTGACGACACGAGAGAGGCTTTGATCATTGTGCGGTGACAGGGCCTAGATTTCGATGATGCAGGATCTGGCCTGGAGATCGTCGTTTTTTTGTTACTGTCGCGCAGTCTTTTGCTTTTATCGGATGCGGCACATTGCAGGCATGGGGCTGTTTCCGGCAGCTTGAATAGAAGGCGTTTTCCCAGTCGCAGCACTGATTGGTACTGGAACAGAAAAAAAAAAGCAAAAAATGGCGCATAAGAAAAACTCGAGCTCTCCACTTCTGGAGACAATGGGAGAAAAACTGTCAGGGCGTTCAGGGAACCTGGAACTAATCTCAGGAACGCACGGTGAGAACGGCGTTCTGAGAACCAGGGAATTTGCCTGCCATTTGCGGCATTTTCTCCTCCTCCGGTTCTGCTCCGTAAACGATTTTGTCCTTGTTGACGACGGACTCAGCCAAGGTATCTACAGATAGAAAGAAGATAAAATTCTTTTCTCATCATGATTTGCAAATGATTTCTTTTTCTGCGAGGTTGCATTAGTGGAAATTGAAAAAAAAGCAAACATACTCAGCTAAAAACAAAAACAAAATGATACAGCGAGGCAGTGATTCGTCAATTGCGGTTGAAGATTGATCCATGGCGGCGGCGGCGACTTTCATCTTATTTCTTATTCATTTATATATTATCTTTTGCTTTATCTAATTTAAATTTTTTGGTCTGGGGTCGGCTGTTCCGCCCTTGTCATAGATTGCATTGTTCTTTCCGACTTCTCCAAACACTCCATCATCCATCCATCCTCTTCTTCCTCCTCCTCCTCCCAATCTTCAACTAAACTAAACTCATCTTGTCCCGGCCTAACTTTCTCCGTTACTCACTAAATAATGCTTGACTTGCTCCATTTGCCCCGACTAGCTGCCATCGTGGGTCTTTGACCTACAGCAGTTCCGCTTCTGGCCCTGCGCCTTTTTCTCTCGCTGCCCCCCCTTCTTCTCCCCTCGTCGTCACCGATCGGCAGGCAACCGCAGATTCCCCGATTTCGAATCCCAACCCTCGTCCCCCCCCGGCTTTCCCCTCCTCCTCCTGTCTTGTTATCCCTTGGATTTTCTAGATACTTTTCTCCGAGATTCTTGACATCTTGACTGACGATCCCCCCCCCTCTGTTGCGTTAACTTTCCTTTGACGGAGCGAGCTCCGTGCGGTCACATCGCAGGATGTTTTCCTCCATTTTGCGATGGGCGAATACCGTCACCTCGCGCATTCCCTGGGTGAAGAATTTGCGCCTGAACTATATTCTCATCCATTATATGTACATCTTCGCTACAATAATCCTCACCTCGGTTATCATCTACCCCGGTACCAGTCTCGCCTATATCGATGCCATATTTCTCTCCACTAGTGCATCTACCCAGAGCGGCCTCAACACCGTCGACCTGAATACTCTGTACACCTATCAGCAGGTATTCCTGTACGTGGCGTCTATGCTGACTACCCCCATCTTTATCAACACCGTCCTCGTCTTTGTCCGGCTTTACTGGTTCGAAAAACGCTTCCAGCACGTCGTCCGCGATGCTCGAGCCCTTCGCTACACTCGCTCCCGCCAACGCACTGTGACTGACGACAAGAATGGGACGAGCTATGATCGGGAGGAAGCTGGCGTTGGTAACCGACCTATCGTGGTGCTGCGGAATACGTTAGGTCGGGTCCGCTCGCGAAGTCATAGTATCAAGTCTCCCGAGGAGAACAGCTCGCCACCGGCATCGCCAACCACTCGACGAAATGATGAGAACAACGCGGGAGATTCAGAGGCTACATTCGCGCGGAAACTAGCGTTTGGGCTGGGAAATGGGGTGGGGAGTCTGCGCGTTCCCGCGCAACTCAGCCCCGAACATCACATCGCATTCTTGGAAAACCAGCGGAGGAATAAAGGGGCCCTGCGGATCCCAAGTCCTCGGGAGTATGATCGGGGCGGTGTGCCGCAGGTGCTAGAAGAAGACGAGAATATGGAAGCACTCGCTAAACCCACGGCGAACGACTCCGGCGGAGAACGGAGTCCGGGTGATACCAGGGATGGATCCGAGGAGGATGAAGAGGAGGGCAGGAACAAGGATGGGGACGAGGAAGAGGATTCTCGTTCTCGCCGGATGGACGGTCCCCATATCACGATCAACGAGCCCGAGATGTTTCGCACGCGGACGAGGAACGAGACCTTTCCCCGCATGGACTCGCGCCCAACGTTCAAGGAGACGAAGGAAGATCCGGATAACTCACCACTAGCCCGATCTACAACACGGCGACCCACGTTCAGCAGTGTCTTCCGATCCCTGACACAGGAGCGGGAGCGGCCTACGCAGCCTTATCTGAGCTGGAATGCCACTGTCGCTCGTAATTCCAACTTCGTCGATTTGACCGAGGAACAACGAGACGAGCTGGGTGGTATTGAATACCGTGCACTGAAGACCTTGGCGGTGGTGCTAATCTCATACTATGTTCTGTTTCATCTCTTGGGCATAATTTGCATGGTCCCGTGGATCATGACCACTCATTGGGGGTCGGTGGTCGAGCAGGATGGTCAGGGCCGTCCATGGTGGGCCATCTTTGTGGCCCAGTCGGCCTTCAACGACGTGGGCTTCAGTCTTACCCCAGACTCGATGGCATCCTTTCAAGGCGCCATATTCCCACTGTTGCTCCTGGGCTTTCTGGTTGTCATCGGAAACACCGGGTTCCCATGTATGTTGCGGTTCATCATCTGGGTCTCGTCCAAGGTCGTCCGTGCGGAAACACCCCTGTGGGAAGAATTGCGCTTTCTCCTTGATCATCCCCGCCGATGCTTTACCCTCCTCTTTCCCCGAAACGCTACTTGGTGGCTCTTTGCGATATTGGTGCTGCTGAATGGAATCGACCTGGTCTTCTTCATCATTCTTGATGTGAGTTGTCACTTCCACCAAATATTGAATCACACTAATAAGTGCACTAGCTGAACGACTCAACCGTTACGTCCTTGTCGCCAGGTCTTCGGGTCTTAGATGGTCTATTCCAAGCAATCTGCACGCGTACCGCTGGTTTTACGGTTGTCTCGATTTCAGACTTGCACCCCGCGGTTCAGGTGTCGTACCTGGTTATGATGTATATCTCCGTGTTTCCAATCGCCATCTCCCTGCGGCGCACCAACGTGTACGAGGAGAAGAGTCTAGGGATTTATGGCAATGGGGATGAAGATGAGGGTGATGATACTCAGCAGACGGCACCCAGCTACATCGGCGCTCACTTGCGGAAGCAGCTGAGTTTCGATCTGTGGTACGTGTTCCTGGGGCTCTTCATTATTACCATCGTGGAAGGCGGGCGCCTCGAAGCGCAGGACGACTACTCGTTTCAGATCTGGTCTGTGCTGTTCGAGGTTGTGTCCGCGTATGGCACTGTGGGCATGTCCTTGGGATACCCTGGGATCAACGCATCCTTCTCCGCTGAATTCCACGTGCTTTCAAAACTGGTCATTATGGCCATGCAAATCCGTGGCCGCCACAGAGGTCTACCGTACGCTCTGGACCGCGCCATTCTGCTCCCCTCGGAATCGCTCAACCAGAACGAAATCGCCGACGCGGAGAAACGTATGCGTCGCCGTGCCTCGAGTCTCAGCCAGATGTCAATTGACCGTGACCGCGACCAGACCCAGCCGCGGAATCCGCCGGAGCAGAGCGCCACCACGGGCCATGGTCCCCGGGATCATTACCCTAGGCACTCGATGCAGGGTGATGGAGTCATCCGCCGGCACTCGACTCTGCGTTCCCAGCGATCTCAGCGTGTCTAAGCCATTATCTCTAAATCATTATATCTCGTTCAAAGCTTATCACCTATTGCAAGATGTTGTTGGTCCTTATCACAAGCGATGTGGGCAGGATTCAGCAGTCCTTTTTCTCGCGCCTCATTCTTAGCGTGTCACTTTCTTTTTGTAAGAGAGCGTTTCGGACTTTTCGACTTTGCAATTTATACTCCCTTTCGTTTACGGTGTTTATAAAGCGAATGGCGGGACGATTCATACTATTTGTACATAACAGCTATACATATACAAGGTGTCCACTGCGGCAGGTGGGGTGGAGTGGGTGGGAGGAATTGGGCACAGCAGGCTGTGTTTCAAAAGATTTTTTTCTGTATCGCTCCCTTCCTAGATGGACATATCAATGAAGTAATGGAGTATATAAACCTACCCTTTTGGTCTTTCTAAACAGAAAAAAAAGGAATCCCCTCGAATTCTCATTCATTCATTCATTCATTCATAAACCATTGTGTTGTGTGAATCTTGAGTATTCTTTGATTCTAATGCCTATCCAGCTCTACTATACACACACGAAGATTTAAGGGGGTTTATCTCAGGGTGACCAACTCCTCCGCACTGGTGGGGTGAATGGCGACGCAGCTGTCGAAGTCCTTCTTGGTGGCGCCCATCTTGACGGCGACGCCGAAACCCTGGAGCATCTCGCCGCAGCCCAGGCCCAAAATGTGCAGACCGACGACCTTCTCCTCGGGGCCGGCGCATATGAGCTTGAACTCGGTGGGGTTCTGCTTCTTCTCCTCCGCCGGGTACAGGTCGTAGTACATGGCGGTGAAGCGGGTGTGGTAGATCTTGATCTGGTCGTCGCCGTACTTCTGGCGGGCCTCCGGCTCGGTGAGACCCACGGTGCCGACCTCGGGGTGCGAGAAGACGACGGTGGGGATGTTGTCGTAGGCGAGCTTGGCGGTCTTGAATTCGGGGCCGCCGAAGAGGCGGTTGCCGAGTTGGCGGCCGGCGGCGATGGCGACTTGTTTTATATTAGTTTATTTGGGGTTTTGGGGGAGAGTGAAGACATACCAGGAGTCAATTCGGCTTGGCCGGTGACATCACCAATAGCATAGACACCGTCGACGCTGGTGTTCTGGAACTCGTCGACGACGACGTGACCGTTCTCGTTCAGCTTGACGCCGGGGACGTCCAGGTGCAGGTCCTCGACCTCGGGGACGCGGCCGACGGCCCACAGCAGCTCGTTGACCTCGGTCTCAGAGCCGTCGTGGTGGACCAGCTTGAGCAGCTTGTCCTTGCCCTTGCCGTCGCGGAGGAGCTGGACCTCCTTGAAGCCCTGGTGGCCCTTGTGGATGTGGATGCCGACGGACTCGTAGCGCTCGGTCATGGTCTTGGAGATCATCGGGTCGAACTTGCGCAGGAACTCCTGGCCGCGGATGTACATGTGGGTCTCGACGCCGACGGCGCCCATCACGCCGGCCAGCTCCACGGCGATGTAACCCGCCCCGACGACGGCGATCTTGGGCGGCAGCTCCTCGATCTCGAAGAACCCGTCGCTGGTGATGCCGTGCTCGGCGCCCTTGATGTCTGGGATGCTGGGCCGGCCGCCTGTCGCGATCAGGATGTGCGGCGCCGTGTACCGCGCCTTGCGGCCGTCCTCCAGC